CTAAATGTGAATTAGAGGTGGATTTAGACCTGAGGAGCTGACAAAGTCTAACTTAAATTAGCACCAATTTCTCTGCAGCCCAGCACATCAGTCCTGGGAGGAGACAGGGTAAATCTCCTCCTGGAGTCCACAGAGCTGTTGGATGTGTTAACAGCAGATCTGCCTGCAAGAGGAGGCTCTGAAACTTCCCCATCCCCAAAAACCACCATAAAATGCACCAACATGTACAAAAATGTGCTTTTATTTCTACCCCTTCCACTAAAGCAAAAGCTTTTGATCCAACCTTCCAAGCTCAGAGTAAAATAACCTACAAAACTCAGAAAATAAAAGCATTTCCCAGGGATGCAGGAGCTGGGCAGGGAAGGAGAACACCCTGACGAGAGTGAAATGAAATCTGGGATTATCAACCCCAGGGATAATTGGTTTTTTGAGTGTAAACAAGGCCCAAGATGAAAAGAGAGGTGGCATTTGAAGCCCAGGAGCAGCTGAAGGGCCCCAATGTCTGGGCTGGGAGCATTGATGTGTCTGTCCTGCTTTGTCCTGGGCTGCCTTGGAGCTCTCAGCAGCCCTAAGAGCACCTCTGGCACCCTGCCCGGCCTCTCTGGCTCATCCCAAATTGCTTTCCCTCCATTTCTGATGGCTTGATTTCACTCGTGGGCTTCAGAAAAACAAACAAAAATCACAAAGGAGCAGAGGAAATCAAAGGCAGCATCTTTCAGCACCCTCCAGGGTGCTGTGTCCCATCCCAGGACAAGCTTTGGCACAAGTTTTGTCAGCCCCTCCTGGCCACAGGTGCTGAGATCAGAGGAATCCACGTTTTTTTGGGTTTTACAGCAGCAGCTACACCACTGAGACACAGTTATGGCACTCAGCTGCACAAAATTAACTCCTCTTGTCTTCTGAAGGAGCCAAAAAGGACCTTAAAAAGCAATATATTCATGCCCTGAGCTTTTCCACACACAGGAAAAGTCAGTTCGGCCACTCCAGGCACTGCTGCAATCCAAGAGGGTCAAAACCCCACTTAACTTGTGGGACAAGGCTGCAAAATTTCACACAGATGGACCAAAAAAAATTGGCAGCAAAAGCAGTCACTTGTTCCTAGGCTGTCCTCAGGTTTTGCCAAAACCTACTCAATTTTTTACCCATGTCCACATCACAATTTAACAATGCCAACCCCAGCTCTGGAGCCAGGGGCTGTACAAGACTTTTATCACCACACAACAGCCCCAGGCTGGCAAATCAGGGGGAAAAAAATGGGAAATGCAGCAGGAAAACGGAACAGCAAGGTCTGAACAAAGCTCATTTTGCTCATCACTGGAGTAACACAGAGCAGAAAAACGGGGCTGGGCCCCTCCCTGCTGCAGAAACCAAATTTCTCATGGAATTTCTTCCCTGAGATGCCTCCAGACAGGGTTAAATCCAGCCCAGGGGTGGAAACATTTCCCTGCCCCAGACTTTGGGCAGCTCTTTCCCCCCAGCTCTGGGTTATGGGATTCCCCCATTCCCTGCTGGGATCCAGGTGTGACAGACCAGGGGCACAAAATGGGCATCACCAGCATGGTTTGGGAATTATTGTTGCCTTTCAGGCTGAAAATGCTTTTTTTTTATTTTTTTGCTGCAAAAGAGCCTTTCCCAAGCTTCTCCCTCCCTCTATTCCTACACTCGACCACGAGGACTTGGTTTCTAATTTATATTTAAAGGAAAGCAAATTAAAAGGAAGTTTTTCCCTCTAAAACTGAGACACATTCACATGGCTTCACTCCCCCCAGTGCTGCTGCACCACAGGAACTGCAGCAGAGTTTATCCCCCACCACGGGCTGGATTTTTGTCCTTCCCTCTCCCCCTGCAAAATAAAAAAAAAAAAAAAATCCCTTTGCAGCCTCATCCCCTCAGCTTGAAACCTCCCAACCCTGCAAGAGCCCATCCTGCCATTTGTAAACTCCTGTTTACAACAAACCCAGCACAAAACTCAGCCTGTCCAACCTGGGCCCAGGGCTTGGCCCCTTTTCAGCCCTCCCCAGTCCCTCACAGAGACCCTCACAGCCTCCCAGCTAATTGAATTTTAATGAGAGGAAGTCATTTTTCCACTGGAAGAATGTTTTGCTGGAGAAATATTTTGAAACTCCTCTAACCTTTCCTGCCAGGCTTTTTCCAAGTGTTTTTTTGGGGTTTTTATTTTCGCAGCAGAACACGCGTGAGGAAGTTCCCATCCGAGCTCTGAGCTGCTCCCCTCACAACCCCAGCATTTCAATAATTACAGCTTCCAAAACAAAAAGTGTTTGGGGCTGGTTTGATTTCAGTCCTGACAGGGAGGATATGAGTTCCCACTGCTTTACAGCTCCTGTGTGAGACAGAGCCAACCCCAGCCCTGTCTCCAATCCCACTCCCACCTCACTGGGTTATTTTAATTTCCAGCAAAAGTGACAAACACAGCAGAGCAGAAAACCCCTGTCCTGGTTTAGGGTGAATTTGGGAGAAAACAATACAAAAAAAAAATACAAATACAAATATGCAAACATCATAACATCACCCTATGAGAACCTCCTGAGCTGGGGTTTGCAGATGGGGTGGGACAGCAGCAGCTTCATCTCCTGCATGCTCCAGAAACCCTCAGCTTTCCAGGAACACAGAAATTGAACCCTTTGTTCTGAGCCTGCACAGTTTCTGCTTAGCCTTGCAGAAAGGAGGAAGGAGGGGCCAAAGGAAATGGAGTTGCTGAGATATGAAGGAAATTAGGTTCTAGTCCACTGCCTTCAGAAAAGCTTTTTCCACCCCAGTTAAAGCTGCTGGTGGCTTCAGTGGTGCGTGAGGAGGGGACCAAAAAACCCCAGAAAGGATAAATATCAGAACTAGAGGGGGTTTATATCCATCTTGTGTAAGTTCAGTACATGCAAGACAAAGAAAAATAAGTATTTTCCAATGACCCAGTTCTCATTAATGCCAGCAAGATCCTGTAGCTGCAGCTCACAGCCAGAACAGGCGAGAGGCTCCTTGGTACCCCAAACCTGAGGAGGTCCTGATGCCTTGAGAAGGGTGGCTTAGAACAGAAACTGGACAGAGCTAAAGAATAAAGCAGGGATTTATTAGGAGGCCTCCATGGATGCACCTTGGGCAGCACAAGAGCCCAGCCAAGATGAACCAAAATGGTCCCAAAATGAACCAAAATGGTCCCAAAATGCATGAGTGGGCACGGGGTCTCTCCCTTGGATCAGTTCTGCTCCATTTGCATCTTGCAGTTCATTGTCCCATTCCAGCTTTAGCCCCTGCAGTCCCACCCTGCTTGTTTTTCTCTCTCCAGCCCACGGGGTTTGTGCTCCTGGGCTGAGATTTGGATCATTTGTCCTTGGTCCCCAGCTGGAGCAGGAATTGTTTTGTCTCCCTGCTCTGTGCACAGAGCTCACCACCCCCTCATATGAAGCTCAGACCCACACACCAAAGCAGCACAGAATGTGAAAATATAAAAGCTAAACTGAGGCACCAGTCCCACAGCCCCTTGGGGTTTAAATTCTTTTCAGCAAGGGAACATGGCCACAGAAAGGGCTAAAAGAGGAGCAGGGAGCACCCATGAACACCTGGGTTCAGTTCCCTCCCTGGCAGAGGAACCAGGTGAGCCCTAAAAAGCACCTGGGAACCCCCCAGATTTCAGGGGCAGTTCTGGGAATCCTGTTATTTCACAAAATGAAAGTGCAGGTTTTTCATCCAGCCTGGATGTGACACCAAAGTCCTTCCAGGGGCTCTACTGGACCTGAGCTGGAGAAGAGCTCTCCACTTTTATATAACAAGGCAAAACCCAGCATCCAGAGCTGAAATATTTGGCAGAATATCCAACACTTGTGAAAGACACTCCAGTGCCCATTAAACCCAGCTTTTACTTTCCATTCTAATTGTTCAACTTCCCAGGGAACGTCTCTTAATTTAATACAATTTCAAGATCCAGGCCTCACTCTGTAACTGGGATTTTGGCAGATCTATCCAGCCCAGGCATTCCTGCTCTGTTTACAGCAGAGCAGCTCCCAGATGTTGGTAATATTAAACAGACTGGAACTTTCCCTCTGAGTGACAGCAAAATGCAGGCAAGAACTGGCTTTGCTATGGCTCTGATTAGCCAGGGATAGGAGATATTCCCATCCCTTTGCTGGGCTGGGGAGGCCCAGGAGATCCAGCTCTTCCTCTAAATAAATTCCACAAAAATAAAGAGCTAGAGATCAACAAGGCTTGATTACACCCCCTTGCACTTGGTGCTGGTTTTAGGAAGCAATTCCAGCTCACAAGAAAGATCAGGAACGGGATTCTCATCCCCAGGAAAGCCTCACAAGTGCAGCAGAGCACAGAAGTTGATTTTGCCAGGGAAATGTAGACATTAAAATGCTGCTGAACCATGGGAAAAAGCTTCTCCCATCTGTACCTTGTCTATAAATAATGCTCTGCCTCTCTGCTTCCATCACACAGGAACATCCCACCCCTCAGGAATTTGCTTTGCCTTCGGAAGCGGAGTGTGGGAGGTGACAACCAAGCCAACCAAGCTGTCAAGGAGAGTCCCCTCGTGTCACGGAGCAAAAGAACCAAGAATCCATGGCCAATGAGTGAAAAAAGAGCAAATTCCAACAGCCCCAGGGTGAGCTGGGGCTTGGGAGGGAGCTGCTTCCCTCAGCCTTCATTCACTGCCCCTGCAGCTCTAAATCCCAGCATAGGATGAACCTTGTGAGCCCTTCCCAGTTTAAATGTGCCAAGAGTTCCAAAAACCCAGTGTAGAGGTGGTCCAGAACCCCAGGAAGGGCTTGAAACCAGACAACCAGAGGAGCTCATTCCACCAAGGCCACCTGGCCCCCAATTTTCATCAGTACGACAAAAACACAAAATAAAACCTTAAAATCACAAACAACAGCGTTCTACTGTGGGGAAAAAAACCCCAAAAAAACAACAAAAATTTCAAAAATGAGCTGGAAGTGTCTCATCATCCCTGTGGAACAGCTGCAGAGCTGCTCCTTGCCATGGCTCACCTCAAAGACCTCCTCATCCAAGATCCTGGTGCCAAAGACGATGATGCCGTTGACGTCGATGATGGGGTGCTCGCTCCGGTCCAGGAACTTGGTGATTTTCTTCTTACAGTCCAGAACCAAGGTCACATTTTTCTTCTGCACGCTCAGAGCCACCCGGTGCCACCTGTGAGGACACAGCCCACAGATGTGTCAGGCACGGCCCTGGGCTTTTGCAGGACAAGGCAATGATTGAACAAAACATGAACTTTCAGGAATTGATGCTCTCATGGCTCTCCCTAAAGGGTTGGCTGGCAGGAGAAATGCTGGTTGACAGCTTTCATCCCTCCAAATCGGGCAGGAGAGGGCCAGCTCTGGCTTCAGCAAGAAGCAGGGATAAAGCCACACTGTTGTCTCCCTTTTCCACCCTCTTTTCAAGCCCTGCACAAGCCTCAGCGTGGATTTTGCAAGACAAACTGATTTTTTTTCTTTTTAAGGCCCTTCGCAGGAAAATCAAATGTTCCTATCCCCACAAGTGGCAGACAGCAGCACTGACTGCTCATTTACAATTCTTACAGATGTCAAATTAATCCACCAAAGGCCAAAATGACAGAGTGGGGCACCTGTCAGCTGCCAGGGGTGTGCAAATACATTTCTACAGGCACAATTCCCATTTTACACAATGTTCAACATGCTGGCACGGATACAAACAATGAACTGTTTTTTCCTTGGTGCACAAAATGTCACTTACTTGCCATCTGCTAGGTTAATGCCTCTAAAGAGAGGATAGTCTTCTGGGCCTGGCTTTCCTGTATGGTCTTCATACAGGAATACAGGAGATCTACCCAACTCCACACCAATTTGCTGGATCCCTTGCTCATTGTAAATTGAGATCAAGAAGGACTGACCTCCTTTCTTCGCTTTTACAGTGGTTAGAATGGAGAAGTCCTCTGGGAAGGGGGAAGCTGGAGTGGAAAAGCAAAGAGGTTAGTGAGGTTTCCTCGGAAATAATCCCTACATCAACAGTGCTGTTTTGTCTGAGAAGCCATGGCTGGTTTGTCTCCAGATGTGGGCACATCAGCAGCCCTAAATGTTTATGTAGGGCCAGCTGAAGATGTGGATTTTCCCCAAATACTCTGGGGTGAAACCCCTGTGCTGGGGGAAACAAAAGTTCTACAAGAGTCATTGGCTTAAAATTGCGTTTTTTGCACCCAACCCTTCCAAAAGAAGCTCCCCTAAAGCTCTTTAGGACACAAGGCAAAATCTTTCATGGGGTGCTCCAAATGAATTTAAGTTGTCAAAGGGACAGAGGAAATCAAGCCTCAACACAATCTTGAAGGGTTTTTCTTTAAGGGAGCAGAGAATTGCATCAGGATTTGTTCATTCCAGATGAGAACAGAAGATTTCGTGGTTTTGCCTTTCAGGGTTGCTGCAGACACACACACACAAAAAATCTGAAAAAGGAAATAAATCTGGCAATCAATGGAAAATGCTGGTTTGCCTGCTTATTAAACAGCACCTCATTTCCTGACCTTTCCTCCTCTCAGGAAAGAGCTGTGTCTGCTCACAGGTGATTTCTGTCTTTATTTCTGCAAGGTTTGGAGGAGCCATTAAAGCCATTAAACTCTGTCGGTACAGGGTCAATCTGCAAGGCCAGGCAAACACATGTAAAGATTCAATCTGAGCATCACCCTCTTGCAGAAACCCAAATTCCTCCCCTCTCTTTGGATTTCTCTGCTGTTCAGACTGAAAAAAATAAAAAATGAGCCCAAACTGAAAATCCTGGATGCACATCCCAAACAGGGCAGCTTGAAAACCACCAGGAGCATTCATAAAGAAGATTTCTTGATCAAATTATGCACAGAAACCCCCTGATGCTGCATTTCAGAACGTGGGGCTTGCAGGGAATCTCCCCTTGGAGCAAACCAAGGATTGCTTTGTACCCCAGCAGGGCAGAGCAGAGGGGCAGCCCCACAAACTGTGGGGTTTGTGACACGTGTGGCACTGCTGGCACCCAGGGAACACAGGGATCCTGTTTAAACTGCAGATGTGCAGCCAAATAAACCACAAAAACCACCAAGCTCAGTGCCCAGAAGCTTCAAATAGATTTCCTTCACTAGTTTAGGTTTTTTCTAGGGGGGTTTTGCCCAGGGAGGGGATGAGGAACGTGGCAGTGGGGAGTTCTTGGCACCACAGCAAAGCTGGAGCTCAAACACAGAACCCTGAGATCATCCCCTTCCTCTCCTGACTGGGAGGTGCTTCAATTTTAAGGAACAAAGTGTTTATGTATTTATTTAAGTATTTAGGAACAAAGTTTTTAATGTCTTTATCTGCCCACAGCAGGGAAGGGGATGAGGCAGGAGCTGCATCAAAACCAGAACTGCTGCAGAGCAAAGGGAGAATTTCAGGGGGATAACTCAGGGTACCTATGGAGAAACACTTTGTACCAAGTTAATCCCCCTCACCTTGTGTAAATAACATTTGGGAAGCAGCAGAAAGCAGCAGAGAGACCTCCCAGTCAGGAATTAAATGCCATTAGGTTCTGATTTATGCCCAGGACTCAGCCCCAGATATTTGGCCAGAGCAGCTCTGGTTTTGGTGCCTCCCTGAGCTTCATCTCCCTCCCCTGTGCACAAACCCTCCTGGAGGACTGAGTCAGGACCATACGCCTTCCTGGCTCCAATTACAGCCTACAGATTTGGGCCTTTTATGTAAAATAGTTCATGTCCAAAATTTCATTATGAACCCACAATACAGTACCTTTCAACTTGGACAAGCTGCCAACTCATTAAAAAGCTGCTTTTAATTTTTTTTTCCATTATTATCAAAATGTCTCCATGGTGATGCGAGTTTCTCAACCCAAATAATCATAATGGATGAATTATAGCTGACATTACTCTGTTACTGCTCTGCTGTCCTGGCAAAATAACAATGCCTGCACTGTCAGAGGCAGAAATGACCCAGGCTGCTGAACGAGGGATGAAAACACATCCCCACACACACCAATACTGATAAATACACGGCCATAAATACACCAGGCAGCGAGAAATTGACCCAAATCCCTCCAAAACAATGGAGACACCCCTCCAACAAAGGCTTTGGGATGGAGTCCTCCTCTTGGATTCACTCCTCAAACGAGCGCACGCTGGGAGATGCTGCGCATCCACCGCTGGGGCTGGCTGGCACCCTCCTCCCACCCCGTGGCCAGAGCCTCCCAAAACCACCCTGTGGGACCTCCCACAGCACGAGGGGGAGCCCCCAGTCCTGCTGAAGCTGCAGGAGCTCCAGGGTGGGCATGGCTGAATCCATGGGATGCTCCAATGGATGAGCCAGGGTCAGGCTGAGCAGCTTCTGGCTTGGGCACGGCGATTAAAGGTCCTGGAGAACCTCGTGGTCTTCAAAACAGGGCAAGTCTGGACCTTCTTTCTAATCCAGGTGTGCCCAAACACAGCCTAAACCAGAGTCCTGCTCCTGAGACCTTCCTAATTCAGGGGAATCTAATCAGAGCCTAAACCAGAGTCTGCTCCTGAGACCTTCCTAATCCAGGTGTCTCCAAACACGGCCTAAACCAGAGTCTGCTCCTGAGACCTTCCTAATTCAGGGGAACCTAATCAGAGCCTAAACCAGAATCTGCTCCTGAGACCTTCATCCTAATCCAGGTGTGCTCAAACACAGCCTAAACCAGAGTCCTGCTCCTGGTCTGGAGCTGCAGAACAGCAGAAATCAGAAAAGCAGCGAGCTGATCCCATTCCTGACACAAACACAAAGGGAAAAGTGGCATTTCCTGAGCCTTTACACTTTTCCTCTTCAAAGCAAAGCTGGTTTCCAATGGTGTCACCAATTTCTGGCCTTTTCCTTCAGCTGAGGAGACTCTCAGCTGAGCAATGACTTGTTTTTCTCAGGGGTGACTGTTTGGGCTCTAACAGAGAATTCTGAGAAAGCAAATGACAACTGCAAATTTGATGGAAGCACACAAATGGCATTTTGCTGGCTGCCACTGGAACCCTTGCCTTTCTTGCTCCTTCTTCTCTTGCTTTTCTTTCTGGAAAAGCACAGATTTTGTTGGGAAGCAGGACTTCTTCAGGGAGCCAGGACAAAAAGCATCTCAGCAGATTTTTTTTCACTCTTTTGAGCATGAAAAAACAAGTTTTGTGTATGTATATATATATATATATATATATATATATACACACATACATCTTGCTTTGCTGGCTGTGGCAGCAGAATGCAAAGCCCATGAAATTACAACTTAGAAAAGCACCAGCTTCTAATTAGCAGAAAATATTCTGTGCAGAGCACGTTTGCCAAGGGTGCTGTGGAGCAGAGAGGGCAAGCTCTGCTCCAACCCACCCTCCTGGTGACACAAAAGCCCTAAAACTGCATTCCCCTGGGGCACTGCCCTGCAATTTCCCCGTTATCTTTGTCCCCTCTCTCATCTGGGGGTGGGAGCTGAAGTCACATCTCCTTAAAGAGATGATGAAACATCCAAGGATCTGCTGGGAAACACTGGGAGTTCTTCACTTGGCTCTTCCCTATTTCCTGAGCAAGCAGCAGAGGGGCCTCAAGGACTCTGGAAGTTTTCAAAGTGGGACTGAGCTGCTTCAAGCACCCCATGGGTGTCCAGGAGATGAAATGATGGAAAAGTGTCTCCATAACTCCATCCTGATCTTCCCACCCAAGGAAGATGCAAGCCAAGAACTCAGTGAGGGTGAGGATGTAAAAGCAGTAAGGCATAAAGGAGACAATCAAGAAAATCTTCGACACTGAGCTCTTTCCTGAGACCAGGATTGAATTCTCTCCAGGGACCAGGACTCAGTTCTCTCCAGGGATGAGGATTCAGTTTTCTTGACTCATCTCTCTGTGCTTGTGTCCCCTCTGTCAGACCTGCTGTGATCCAGTCCCTTGTTAAACAATCATCCAGAATGTTCCAGCCTTGTTTCTACCCCTCCAGTTCAGCACCATTTGCTGGTTTCTGTTACATAAAAGTGACCAGACAAGACTCCACAGTGGCTACAGAAAGTGCTGGCAAGCTCTCAAATCCACTCCAGCTGGATATTCCAAGCTGGAACATTTCTTTTGAACACCTTGGAGCTTGTAGACACCAGGCCTAAAATTGAAGTAATTTCAAGCATGACATGAGGGGACAGAAGGCACAGCCTGTCCAGCTGGGCACACAGTGACTCTGTCTGTGATCAGAAACAACTTCCCTGCCCTGGACAGCAATGAAGACAAATTTAGGGTCTGGTTTGCCCTTCTGCAGACGTTTAAGCCCAGCTTTAGGCCAGACTGAGCAACTCCTTTGCTAAGGGTTGTCCATGCCATGATGTCCAGCCCGTTCTCATCTGTCCCCACATCAGGCTCAGTTTTTAGGTGAGACCCAGACTGTGCTCCTGCTCACCAGGGTTTAATACAATTATTGCCACAGCAGGATAATGATGAAGGCTGGAAACAACCTCAACAACGAGGGAAGCACGGGAGGGAGGGTTGGGAGCAGCCTCAAAGTCTTCATTTGTGCCTCTGCCAGGCTGGGGCTGAGGGATGGCCTGGTTAAATAAGAACATTGGTGGTGGCACAGCCCATTAGCTCTGATTGAGCCAATCCATTCATCCCCTCCCAAGCCCTGAGGGAGGCTGAGTGAGCCTGCTCTGCTGAAATCCCCTCCTGCCTCCCACACCAGCAAAAGCAGCTAGATAGATAGATAGAGAGCTTCCTTCCTTCATTTCTTCCTTCCTTCCTAAATTCCTGAATTCCTTCCTTCCTAAATTCCTGAATTCCTTCCTTCCTTCCTAAACTCCTTCCCTGCCCAACCTGCCTCAGCAAAGGCACATTTCTCATCCAAGCCCTGCCATGCCAAGCCCCAGCATTCCCCCTGTCACAGACACATTTTATGAAAAATCCCTTTGCCAGGATTTTTCCTCCTGAGAAGCTGAGAGGCCTCAGGAACAAAATGCAAACAATGGTTATCTGCTGCTGTGGAATGCAACAGGTGCATCTGGGATTGGGCTCATGTGGTTGTTTCTAATTAATGGCCAATCACAGTCCGGCTGTCTCGGACTCTCTGGTCAGTCACAAGATTTTATTATCATTCCTTTCTATTCCTTTCAAGGAAATCCTTGATTTCATCCTTCTGATGACATCTTTTCTTCTATTCTTTTAGTATAGTTTTAATATAATATAATATATATATATATATTATATATATATTATATATATGTATTTTATATATTATATATATGTATTTTTTATATATTACATATATAATATATACATTATATATGTATTTTATATATATATCTAATATAGATATGTATTTTATATATATATATATATAATATATATAATATATATAAAATAATAAATCAGCCTTCTGAAACATAGAGTAAAGGTTCTCATCTCTTCCCTTGTCCTGGGACCCCTGTGAACACCACCACATTCCCCCAGGTGAATCAGGGACACCTGGATGGCTTGGGAAGGAGGAATTCTGGTGCTGACTGCATCTCTCAGGCAGGGAAGAGTTTGGGTCCATAATTTCTTCTTCCAAACACACAATGATAATGCCTTGGCCCAAAAAATTCTGCTCAGGCAGCAATAGAATGGTCAGTGCCCTTCAAGGGCTTTGTGCCTTGCTCTGATGAGCCTCCCATCCTTTCAAATAACTTTTCCCAGGACATGTGTTCCTGTGGGCCAGCCTCAGTTATTTTTATCTGGTGATTATTTGTGTTAGGGCAGAGAGCAAAGCCCCAGAGCCAGACCCCACTGAGCTGGGCCCAGAACAAAGCCCAGCCCGGGCTCCTCTGCTCCGTCCCCAGCTGGGTATCACCCTGTGAGAGTGAGAGAGGGGGAATTGTCCATTCTGAGGGAGCAGAGGTGGCACTGTGTCCTCCAACAGTGACAGCCACATGCAAACACGGGGATAAAAGGAAATTAATTGATGGCTGGAAATCTGCAGCCCCCCTGAACCAGCAGGAACACTGCAAACACCCTGGGGAAATGAAGGAATTGGGCATTTCCATGGGACAAATGAAAAGCTGGACTCACCAGGATACAGCTGCTTTGTTGGGGCACTGAGCTGAGCATCTTTTGTTACTCTGTAAGCAACATCTGCTTCTTTTGAAGATCTTCTGCTTGTGCAAAACCCCGTGGTTTTTGTGATACCATCAGGTAAATTATGAAAATCTAACACCTTCAAGAGGTCTGCAGGTTCAGCTGCAAAGAGAAAAGGAGAAAGAAGAATTAGGAGACAACAGGGGTGGCACTGCTGGGCTTCAAAGCAGGCAATTGTCACAACCTTGAACTCAGCTGAAATGTGCTTCCTACTCTCCTTTCCCCTACTGTTCTTCAAGGCAAATTTTTAGAGGAAAAGTTGCCTTAAACCCTGCTGATCCTTCAGGATATGTGCAATAACAAACAAGGATTTTATTTCAGTCCATTACACCTGTCAGTCACAGAGCTCAGCACAACACTGCAGGCCAGGGAAATGCTTTCTCCCCTCAATAATTATCCAAAGTTTCATTTCCCCATCATCATTTTTAGTTTCCCCTCCTAAATCCATCTTCCCCGGCCAAGGGAAAATAAGGAAAAGAATTGAATATTATTCTCCCCTCAAAAAAAAACCCAACAAAACAACATGAAACCAAACTGAACAACCCCAAACAAACCAAACCAACAACAAAAAACCCTACAGGAAACCCCAAGAACCCCATGGAAACATTGCTCAGTGCAAGATGGGAGCTGGAGCTCCTGCAGGGCACACTGCAGATCCCAGCCTCAGCCAGAAGTCATTAATCCAAGCCATATTTAGGCCTGTAAGAATCATTTTTACCACCCTGAACACCCCCAAAGCTCTGCCATAAGTCACTGATGTGTTCCTTGTGTGTATCTGTGCTCCCTGTGCCTGCAAAATTACAAATTGCAGGCAGCAGACCTCAAAACAAATCTTGTTTTTCAAGGTTTTTTAATTAAATCCCCATCCCTGAGGAGAGCCCCAGGGTTTGTCACTGGGCTGAGGAGCTCCTGAGGCTCACCATGCTGGGGACATTCCCAGTTCTCCCAGTGCAGGGAACTGGGCAGCCCTGGACAAAAGGAAAAACCAGGTTTTATAAACAGAGCGTGGTCTGGGCTCCAGGGAATTCTAAAGCTGAGCTCTGCCAAGCCTGGTCTAGGGGAGGCCCCAATGAGATGAGCCTGAAGGTCCCTCCCAACCCAAACCTGACAGAATTCAGGGGCATTCCTGCAATCTTCCTTCAACTTTTTGCCTTCCACCACCCTTCAAAAAGTGGCAAAAATCCACCTGGAGACACAAATTTGCTGTGCACAGCTGCCCTGTTGTTGTTTCAATGCCCTGGCTGAGGCATCTGGGGCTCTGCAGGAGGGGTGGGCAGCCTGCAATGGGAGGATTTTCTTCCATATTCACATTTGGAGCAGGCAAAGGACATCCCAAAACCCTTCAGGGCTTTCTGATGCAGCTCTCAGTCGAGCTGTGGTTTTTGTGCCATAAAATGAAGAATGAAAAACCATTCCCAGCTCATTCCAGGTGCCCTCTGCAACTTCCTCACCGTTTACCAGCCTGGGGATTTGCAGCCCAGGGACGCAGATTTTCTGGAATGGTTTTTGTTGGATATGAACAAAACAGAGAATTGTCATTTATCTCCCAGCAAATAAAGCCAAGAGGGAGCATTTCAGGAGTAGTGAAAAGAATTTCAGGAAAACCTCCCACTGTCCCAGGGTGCTCCAAGCCCTGTCCAGCCTGGCCTTGGACGCTTCCAGAGATGGGGAATCCAGAATTTCCCTGGACAACCTGAGCCAGGGCCTTGCCACCCTCACACAGAAACTGTTCCATATTTTTAATGGGAAAAAAAGTGTCACACAAACTGTTCCATATTTTAATGGAAAAAGGTGTTTTCCACCCCAAGCCATGAGGGGTCAGAGCATGAGGAGCCCTTGGTGACCCCAAAGCTTCAACCCCAACCTGCAAAACCCACCCGAGGTCAGGGTCCCTCCAGGAAGGAGCAGAGAATCCCCAGGGCACAGGGACTGCTGCCCCAAATGAACCCTTCCCCTTCCAGCTTTAGCAGCCCTAAAGTGCTTTTCCAAGGTATTTTTAGCCCTAAATAAACACCCAATTATTGCCTTTGCAGAGCCCAGCCCAGGCAGGGCACAGCCCCTTCCCTGGGTTTCTCACTCCCCAGAGGTCGCCTTGAGCATCTGGGCTTAGATTTGGAATCAAAACCAAGAGGTATTTATATATTCCATCCTAATTTAGGGATATTCTATTATTCCTAGAGTTCCTCTGGCAGATCCAGAAGAAATAAAAGCAAGCTTATTTGCTTTTATTATTTTATTTTATTCTTTGGTTTTGAGGACTGGAAGTTGCTTCCCCTCAGTGATGGCTTTTTTTATGGAGCTGGGAGTCTCCTTTTCAGCCTCCTGGGATTTCAACAATTTTGACTCCTTATCTAAACACTTTTCACCACAGCTGACCTGGCTGCAGCCCTGGGATAACTGACTAAAACAGGGTGGCAGAGGCTAAAATAAAACAGGGCCTAAAATAAGAATATCAGGCCCCAGCTGCTGCTGCTCCAGCATCCTTTGGATGGGCTTAACAGAGGCTCTTAAATTCTTCAGCGTCCCAGCAGCCCAATAAAACACAATTATTTATTTGGGCAAAGAGAAAAGGCATTTTAAGGAGGAGAAGAGAAGAATGTGAGCTGCAGGATTGAGGATATTAAAGGTCTTTCCTTAGGAAGAGGTAAAAAATAAAAAAAAAAAAGAATTTAAAAATTAAAAATAAATTAAATTAAATTTTAAAAAAATAATTTTAATTATTGTTTAATTTTTAATTTATATTAAAAAAAGGGAATTAAAAAAAAAAAAGGCAGCTATGGAAAGGGTCAGAACTGATCTGCTCCTCCCAAGAGCTACCACAGAGCTGTGTCAATTCACACTGCTCCAGATTGCAGAATATTTCACCAATGACTCATGACATCCCCTTATTTATTTATTTTTTTCTTTTTAAAAAAGCCCAAATAGTCCCAACTGGGAACAAAGGAAACCATTATGCAGAGTCAGATTGGAAGGATCCTACATCTAATCCCAAAAGGACAAGAAAGAAACCCAGAACTGACACTGGAGCAGCTCAGAGACTCCATGAAATTAAAAAAAAAAAAATCAAATAACTCCTGTTCCTTTGAGCAGAAATCTTTTTCTTTAATTTTTTAAAATAATCAATTATTTGGGTTTGTAACAAAGCCATGGTGTTAGCAGCTGACAGTGAGCAAAGAGCACGGTTTTGCTTCATGGAATATCATGAAAATCTGCAAAATTTACAGACACAGTGCCCAAAAAATCAGGAAAATGTCAAGGATTTGTCTGGAAATCCCAGCCCTGTTCAAGGACAGCCAAAATCCTGCTTGCCTTAAGAGATTTGGGATTTTCCCTGGGCACAGCAGGACCCACCTGGGGATTTCACCTTTTCCAAGGAGCTGCTGTCCCCCCATTGCACAAATCCTGGGAAAAAGCCATGAAAACCCCGCAGGGAACAGGGAGAGGGGTTGGGGGTGTCCCTAAAAGGGCAGGTTTGGGGGTGCAAGGAACAAAATTTCCCTTTCCCTGCTCCTGGTTAATCTGGTTATTTCCACCCAATTTGTCCGTTTTGGCTGATTTTAAAGATTTCTTGGTTTAGAAAATGATGCTCCTTGTCCTTCTTGTCTCCTGTGCCCTCACACCTCAGCTTCCAGCACATCCTGGTCCCATTTCTCCAGCATCTTCCCCTGAGTGCTGCTGGAAGATGCTGAGAGGGACCAGAATCCTTTGCTGTGGTGTTTTCCTGGGCACAAAATTCCATTTTAAAATGGTTTTATGATCCTTTCTGATACCCCTGAAGTGCTGAGAGATGTGCTTTAGGTTATCCTACAAGGCAGAGCTCTCCAAGCTCCCCCCTCCACATGGAGCAGGAATTTCTGGGTCACTGTGACATTTTGGGAAGTGCTCCAGCCCCAGTTTCCTTCCTGGCAGGAGTTTTGCCCTTTGAACCACTGAGGGTGGAATTTTGGGAGCTGTGAAAGCTCCAAACTCCCTCCCTCAGCAGATCCACAGATGGATTTAGGAGCAGCTCCTTAAAACCAGCCCTAAAGGGATGCAAGTTTTGTCTCCCTCACCCCCAGGCTCTGTTTTTTTTTTTTTTTTACACAAAATCATTAAAATCAGTTTAAAAAATCAGTTAAAAATCAGCTAAAAAAATCATTGCAAGGCCCCTGGATTGCCTCAGCCCTCAAGGAGCACCTGAAGATGTAAAAGCAGAGATTTCCAAGAGGTGGAAATCACATCCAAGGATTCTGCCATGCTTCCCAAGGAAACCTTGGCACCTCTCTGGAGGTGGAACATTGAGGCTTTCCAAGACTTTTGACAAGGGGGGCAGGCTCAGAACCCACCCAGGGCAGGTTTATTTGGGATATTAGGAATTGATTCTCCCCTGGGAGCCCAGTGAGGCCTTTCCCAGCTTCCCTCCCCTGCCATGGGCTCATTCCCAAGCACAGAACCTCCTGCAGCTCTCACACAGGTGCCCTCGAAGGTGGAAAAGGAGATCCCAACCTCTTTTCTTTGCCCTAAAGAGTCCCAGTGTTCCCAGACAATCTGGCACTGGGACAGCAGCAGCATTTTCAAAGCAATTTGTGATAATCAACCACTTAAGGGCCTGCAAGGCTTAATTAGGGCCCGAGCTTGCAGCACATTAAAATCAACAAGAAGCTTTGCAACCAGTGTTAATGGGGGGCAGAGCAGCTATCCCTGCAAGGAGGCGTCCAAAGCTGGCAGAATCTTCTGGAAAAGGGAAGGAATAAAGGAGACCTGGACTAAGAGTGGCCTCCTCCTCATGGCCTCCCTCGAAACCTCCCAAAATTGAACAAATCCACCCCAAAAATCGACTCAACTGAGCTCAGCTGAGATTTTTCCCCCTGTCAAATCAAAGCCCTGCAGCCCCCTGGGTTGTTTCATGTGGGTGATAGTGTCCCTGCATGCCAAGGGTGCCACTGGAATGGGAATTATTGCCCCAGGTTGGAGCCATCCCACACACTCAGAGCGGTGTCCCCCACCCAGGAAACCCCAGCCCGTGCCTGGGGGGGTTTAGATGGAATTTAGATGGATTTTTTGGGAATTTTTTTGGGAATTTTTTTGGGGAATTTTTTTGGGGAATTTTTTTTGGGGAATTT